AAATATTTCTTGAAACCTATATCAGTGTCAGATTGTGTGTGCATAGCTTCTCTAATATCTATAGGGAAAACTTGATGTGGAAAAATTCATGTTATACACGTTTTTGACATTTCCATTTTCAATCAATGGATGGCAGGGAAACAAACAAGGTAAAAATATGTACCATTTGATACAATCAATATGCATCATAAAATTATACCACAACTCTCTTATTGCTTAAATTTAAATAAATTAATACCATGAATACAAAATAATTCCTATTGCACTACTAAGTTAGAGCCAAACAAGGGAATAAGACCTCTAACATCTGGAAGGGAAAAAATTATGAAAACTAATTCAACTTGACAATTATCAACAATTATTCATACTTTCTTTCTTTTTCCAAGAGTAAATCTTGGGTCACAGAAAGAAAGAATGAAGAGTAACTTTACATCTAATGGTGAGTTCCTTACATCTTTACAATTTGGGTTTCATACATATATAATTATGAGTGTCCTAGAGCTAACATAAAATAAAACTAACTGAGATGAGATTCATACATATAAATTGCTACTAGTAGATAAATCCATTGACAAAAACAAGGTTTCAAAAATGGCTGGTGGAGCATTCTCTGTGGATAGTAAACCAATTACTGCCATCAACATTGGTGGCAAGTTAACACTCACAATCATCATTTCATACATAGTTTGTGAAAAGTATCAGTTCATGTAACATCTATATCAGTTCATGTAACAGTCTCAATACAGTGAACCGGCAACCAAAATCATGCTAAAATAAAGTAAAAATAAAACTGAATTGAAAATGGAACACCATCAAATATAAAATCAGAAAATGGAATGGTTGAAATATAAGTAACAAAATCGAAAATGGAACATATATCAAACATAAAATTCAAAAAATGGAACAATTGAAATACAAGGAACGTAAATGCATTTACCTGAGTTGAAAAGGATGATGATCGTTTACGTTAGGGGTTTCCAATGAGATTGAAAAAAGAAGAAAGAATAAATCGATTGAGATTGAGAGAGAGGAACAAAGAATACATCAATTAGGGTTTCACAATTGAGAGACTCGTTGGAAATGGGATTGAGAGAAGCACGTTATCTTTGATGAGAGAGGAGAAGAGAAAATTGCAATTGAGCTTCTTCTGGATTTTTATTTGGTTGTGGTTATCCATTCAATTGGATGTGGATGTCCAACTAATTTTAAAAATGAATTGGTTGAAAAACCAAAATAAAATTTACCGATTTTTGAAAATTGGATTCGGATATGGTTATGGATAAACCATCAAACCAGTTAATTTGAGCATCCCTAGCTATCACATAGAAATGCTACCACGTAGACAAGCCAATCGCACAATTCTGGAAAAGCCAGGGTCATATGATACTTTTTTAAATGTAGTGACATGATTTTTCAAGTTGGAGGAGACACTCACCCTAAAACCAATTTGTTCATGTAAAATACAATTCAACTATGTATTTATCATATTTTTTGTTTGCTTTCAGCTTTGTATATTCAAGAGAAATGGGAGAGAGTTTAACAAAGATACATAAATGGATAGACGTTACAAATTATTTTGCCAAAAAATAATTGTAACGGAACACTTGACATCTTATTTCACTACACGAATATATATATTTTTAATTTTAGTGGAGATTAATCATGTACTTATTGGTCTACAAAAATTTAAAATTTGTTTCAATGTGTTGATTTTCTTTCTAAGTTTTCACAGTCATGTGTTTGCAACAATTATTCTTAAAATATATATATATCTATCTTTATAACAATTTACAAAATTAATAGATTTTTTTTTGTTTTTTATTAAATAAATAAGTATGACCTCCAATTCCATTTCAATTACCAATTAAAAATTAATTACAAAATTTAGTTATTGAATCAAACTAAATCACTTATTTTAAATATTGATTTGATGCTTATAGTTAGAATTTATACGTTTGATGTCACCAATACCTCTAATATGTTGAAAATGTGTTTATTTATTTTAATGATGTTCATGCTAATTTAAATCTACATTATGCATATTCAAAGTAATTATAAAATTTTCAACAAATAATTTTGATATCTTACACGTTTTAGAATAATAAAAAAATATATAGGTGATTTGTTTGATTGGAAAAAATTATTAAAATTAAGCATACTTTGATTGGTATAGCGTTAGGTTAACAAAATATTAGTTTCATCACGGATTATCTCTTTAAAGCATATGACATTTGAAGAGTCGTAGTCTCAATCAAACAATCACAAATATTATGATCAGTCTCTAGAAATCCTCTATCCTCAACTGATCTTTTAAATGTATTAAACGAATTTCTATTATCTGTAAGAAGATATTTTCAATTAGTTGGACTTTTGGCATGAAATAACAATAATCAGAAGGAAAACTTCTCTCCCTTCGAAGGTTATACTATATAGTCTCAATCAAACAATCACAAATATTATGACCAGTCTCTAGAAATCCTCTATCCTCAACTGATCTTTTAAATGTATTAAACGAATTTCCATTATTTGTAAGAAGATATTTTCAATTAGTTGGACTTTTGGCATGAAATAACAATAATCAGAAGGAAAACTTCTCTCCCTTCGAAGGTTATACTATATAGACTCTTCTGATAAATGAGTGATTTGTCCATAACGTATGCGCACTAAAAAAAAACATGCGCACATTTTAAGACTACTTGAGAATATCTAAAAACATTATTTTTAATCCTAAGTATGATAAAAACTTCATACAAAATATACACACGTTTATTTTTCTACGATGTGCACATTAAAAAAAGCGGACAGACGGGTACGAGAGAGCCCGTCTAAACGCTAGTTCTGGATAATGCGCTCTACTTATAACAACAATTAAGTTAAAAACAGTTGTGATATATTTTTCAATTTTACCGTATTTCTAAATTTTAAACCTGAATATTTCTGAATCTTATCAAAATAGAAACAACAATACAACCGTTTTTGAATTGACTTAGACCAAAAATTATATTACATCAATTACACGATTTTATTAAGAATAAAAAATTATATATTACATCAAAATTAAAATAGCACAAAACAACCTACATTATACTCATCATTACAACTGAATAATTTTTTAAACCAAATTTTTTCTATAAATATGATAACGTGATGCACTTACTATAAAATAAAATTTGATGTTTGAAAGAATAATTTATATCCTATGTTAAATTATTTATTATAAGTTTAAGATAAAATTTTAAGACTTTATGATAACTATTTTTAGAGCAGTAAAGAAAATTAAGTATGACTTACTGATTTTTATTATTATTTAGATTTTACCATTAAACATTATTATATTATCATTTCATAATTTCTATAATTATTATATTAAGGGTTATGCTAACCAGTGCCCTAAGGGCACTAGTTAAGAATTTCAAATAAGGAAAATATGTTATATTTAATTCACTTAATACACACAATATTATTTAAAAAGTCTAATTATTTCTCTTTTCAGGTCATTGAATACATATATTTAGAAAAAATATATATTTTCAATCTCTTAAATAATGTCCAACTTACCATTTTAATCTCTTAACCAATGGCCTGAGGGCACTCGTTAGCATTTCCCTTATATTAACCGTAATTATTATAAAGTCAATAAAGACATTGTCTACAACAGTGGAATACATCACTATAAAAACACAACACTGATACATTCAGACGGGAAAAAAAGACCACATAGAGATACACGAAAAAACCACAAGCTTGTCTACACAATACATGCACTTAAAAATTTTGCAGAAAATTATTACTTGCGAACAAACAGAACCTTCTATCAAAATTTTCCACAAAATACACCACAGTGGCAATTTGAAGGAAGAATAGAAATCAGAATAAAGAGAAGAAGAAAATAAGTGGAATAGGATCAAGAATCACCACCACCGCGAGCAACCTCTCAGCCTCCGACGGACACCGCCACAATGATCTGTGCCGCCTGTGATTCCGGCCGCATCTCCGTCACTGTCACTCGTCGCCATCGAGACCATGCGACCTCAACCTGTAATACGCAACTCAACCGAGACATCCATCCTCTCCGTTTCAGATCTGCCGTTGTTTATTGAAATCCAGGTTCGTGACTTTTCTAATTTCCAGATTTGAAGTATGCTTAGTTGTGTGTTTGTTTAATAGAGATAAAATTTGAGGAAGTTTTAATTTATTTTTGTGTATATGGAATGAGAGAATAAACTATGGGATTAATTTATTTTCTTTCTAATTTCTTTTTGGTTTTACTTTATATTTTGTCAATATCTTTTATTAATATGGCTAGGAGTGTCATCTATCGTATTTGTGTTGTTTAGTTATTAAAGGTTGAATTAGTAGAATACCTGTGCGAAACGGGTAAATTTATTTTGATATTGTAGATTCAAATAATTGAAAAAGATGTAAGATAAATCTAAATGTAATTGTAAAAGTACAATGTGAAATGAGGAAATAGAATTAGAATAATAAATGAATTGTAACATGTTTACACAAAATATTGTGGTAAACTTGAGTAACAATGTAAAAGAGTAAAAAAGAAAGACAAAAAAAATGATAAAACATCATTTGTTGCGATCATTGTTGATGGTGGCTTGTGTAGCATGATTCTCCACAATGAACAAAAAAATTTAACCGGTAAAGAATAACACTTATATTAGGTGACAACTAAGAACACCAACAACCAAGACCAAAAAATTATACAAACAATTTGTAGTTAAATACCTATTAAATTAAAGACATCTTTTGGTATGTATAAACCAATGTTGTCTAAAGATTGGCTTTGTGATTTATTAATTGTCATAGTAAAAGAAACAATAATTGGAAATTGTCTTCTTACCATTTAAAAAGCCATGGTGATTGTGAAGGGGACAAAGATATTCTTAGAATATAAATGATGTTACCAATATTTTTTGCAGAAATGATCTTAGCTTCAATGACATGATTAGCAAGCCATGTTACAGTGAGTCAGTACCGTTGCATAATCATTCTGATTGATCCAAGTTTTGCAACAACATAATTGTGCTCCCAACTTTCAACTTGATTGAATGATTAGGCAATCCTGATATTTTAAGAACATTCAAGAATTCAGATGTCAAGTGTTCAAATGCATCGAAGCCAGTTGCTTCAGATCTATCAACAGAATCACTACTGAAGTATTCCTTTTCATCTCATTAAATTAAAAAAAAAAATTATTTGGATTCAATTCTAAGAAAGAAAACATTATGGAATTAAATACAATAAGTAAGTAGGAATAGTACCTGAAAGAAGGTTTGTGATGTATTGATTGATATCATATACCACTTCAATAGTTGAAGTCAAAATTGCACGATTTTGAAGGTAATTGGAGTCATTGTGGTTATGAATGAGATTAGAGTAGGTACTTTCAACTATAGCCTCAATAGGATTTGAAAAATTAGAAATGAGAAATTCTTGTGGAATTGAAATTTCAACATAACCATCATTTGATTTAGACATTATCCCATCTTCAATTTTTAAGATCCACTCAGAAATTTTTTGAATCTCATCAGCGGTAGCTGTCATTGTTTCACTTTGCAAGCGCACGGGAGCCTCATCCCATATGATTAGATCGGTCAAATTTAAAAGGTTAGCAAGTTCATCTTTTTTGTCAATGTTGCAAATGGATGTTTGCAAAGTAGGCACTGGAATCTTAAATTTTCAATGAGCTGTTCTTCCACTTGGTGACAAAAAACTTGCAATCCCACTTGAGGCAATAGGCAACACAATTTTTCTTTTAGCACGAAGTGCAACTGACAAAGTGTTCCACATAAATGTTTTACCTGTTCCACCATAACCATATAAAAAAAGAACACCACCTTCACGAGTTCTCTTAATTATTTAGCCGTCATTTCAACGAAAGGGATACAATCCTTATCCCAAAATACAAAGCAACCAACATGGTTTTCATACTCAACCTCAATTTCCATTTTGAACCTAAAACACAAAGAGAATAAATGGAAATGTAAAACTTGCTATGTGAAAAAATAAGATGGCATAGTAGGAAATACTAATGATTGCTTACTTAGTGATAGGTTCCACATCCTTCATTCCATAAATGCACACAAATTTTTCTCTGGGGGACTTGTTAGAGGTTTTGCAAGACGGACAAGACTCAAAATACCATTCATGCTTGGAAGCCTCGAATCTCTTTGTAGTGCCAATTGTGGTGGCGAAACAATCCTTTCCCATTGCATTGATATAACGAATACTCTTTACCTCATTTGGGCTAGTCCAGCCTTTGCTGGTGGTTTGAATAGATAAATCACATGATTGGCTAAGAGAATGTGACAAAGCTACTGATAATTGATTTGATGATAAACTGAAAGTCATTTACATATAATAGTGCTAATGGTTAACACGAAAGAAATGAAATACATATGAAGTTTCCATTGGATATTAGAATAAACATAAGGCACTAATGAAAACTTGGATTTAAAGGATTCAACTTGGGGATGATCAAGGTTAATAAGAAGTCTAGAGTCATTCCAAGCATTTGAAAGGCTAGGCAGTCCAGAAACTGAAGAATCAATATAGAAATGCAGGTATTGTGCATTGTAAGTATGATGAATTAAAAAACCATAATGTTAACAGAATGGCATGTAGTTAAAGTCCTAATACTAACCTGCATTTTTCTTACACCAAGCATGTGTCAACACAATGATTGTTGGACCATTAGTTTTGTTAGACATATTATTGTTCATCAATTGTTTTCCATAATCATCCCATAACGCTACCTCAATGACATTACCATGTTTGTCACTGTCTCAGTGAGAATCGAAGACCATAGATATTGAGTTAGCTAGGCTTCACAAATCATAAGATATCACCACCGATCTTTAATTTATCCAAGGGAACGAGTAAATAAAGAATAACCCATAAACATGCAATGCAAAGACAAAGCAATAAAGAGATATAAGGTTCGGAGGTTGGTTAGACTAAGGGAAGATATTAGCACCCTAAGCATCTATAGTATCCTATAGGAACCTCTTGTTGAATTTGTGTTGTAAGTTTGTTTGCTAATTGGGATTGATTGATGAGATGAGAAGAGAAATGTTTTTTTTATTGTTTTTGTGTTTAGAAAGATAGAAATTCTTGTGCCTACATACCGATGAAGGATCAAAACCTCGTATTTCGCGGTACAAATTAAAAACGGTTTGTTATGGTGGATTAAAAGAAGAGACAAGTTGTCATCCTAAGGAGAATATTCATCTAAACCACAACAAACATGTATGAGAGGGATATTCGATTCACATTGAGAGAAGAGATCCAACTTGGATATAGAATCAACAAGTATGCCACATACCACTCTCAAGTGGAAAAAAATTAACATCTTTCTCAACAATGTCATTGGGTAGGAGCTTTATATCTCAACTTAGGATGACTAATATTTACTCAATTTTTAAAAGGTTTCAAATTGAAAAGCCAAAGTGGCAAAAGATTTAAATTAAAGTTTATGTATTTTAGTCTTTGTGAAAGAGTTTGAATATGCTTAAGATGTCTTGAAGCATTTGTTAAGAAAAGAGAGTTTGAAAAGTCAATGACCTAAGGTCAAGATTTTTAATGAAAGTGGTTTTGAGTATGAGAGAGGGGGAACCCTAATTGAATGTCTAAGTTGAAGATAATCCTAAGGGAGACTTCCTAAGGGATAACAATTTCTAGGATTACAAGTTTAAGAGATATATGTACAAGAAATCAAATATGCAAATGCAAATGATAATGATGTCAACAACGAGCCCCTCCTTTGGAATTGAATAACAATAATTGATCATATAAGCATGCATAAAATGATAACATCATGAACAAAACATTAACATGATTTTAGGCATTGAGATATGGTTAACATAAACAAGGCATGACAAAGACTTAAGTAACATCACAAGAAAAAACTCATGAACAAACATAAGGTAATAGACATGCTTTACATTGTGAAAATTTATGAAGGAAATACTTGAAAACAATTGATCAAAGATAGAATCAAATGAAGCATCACAAACAAGTTTGAATAAGTAAGCATCCAAAGTGAATCATGGATCATATGAACATGGTAGAGATGAAGCAAAATCCTAAAGAGGATCATTACACATACCAGTTATGAATGAGAATTAAGAACACGTTGAAAAAAAGTGAAACCATAAACCCTAGCAAGGTATAAACATGCTTTGCATTTAGGAGTTTATGAAGGAAATACTTGAAAACATGTCAACAATTAACAAAGTAAGCATAATGAACAAGACATTAAGACATGATTGAATTAAAGGTTGAAGAGACTAAACACAAGTGGAATTCCTAATCATGACCAAAATGTTTTCAAAAGATTAATCAAATAAAACCCTAAAGTTTCATCTAAATATCATTTAACCAAAACATTTTTCAAAGAAAGTAACACCTAAACATGGTATAGGTCTTCGAAATAAGGTCATGTTCAAGTAAACACTTCAAGACAGCAAGGCATCAAGACAATACTTCAAGGAAAAAAATCACAAAAAATCAATGGAAGAAATAAACCAAGATGAAATAAATAAACATATTTTTAATCTTTTTTAATTAATATGCTAAAGTAAAATAAAATCAAGACATTGATTAAAAATTATTTTGATGTTTTTGAAAATATTAGGGATGATAAAATAAAAGGGAGAAAAAAGAAAAAAAAAGTAAAATCATGGATTAAAAAAGAAAATAAAATGAATAAATAAAATAAAGGAAACAAGTTATAAAAAATAGAAATGCTGCCTACAAGGGTTGAACCTGCGCCCTCATGTTCACAGCTTAAAACTCATACCACTAGGCCAAGTGCTGCATCCTGAAGGTAAAACGCATGCCAAAGATAATATATGAAGGTTCAATGCTAAAATGAACAAAAAAACAAAACCAAAAGGTCTAGGGTGAGAGAACTTCGAACCCCAGACCTAATTCTCATACACAATGCACAAATACTAGTGTTTCTACTAGGGAGCGATGCCTATTCAACTATAATGTTGCAAGCACAAAATAATATATGAAACATACTTTTGAAAATGAACTGCACGCCTTAATCATCATCTTCTTCCTCCATCATTTTCCACCATTCTTGATTTTTAGAGAAACATAACTTTTTCGTTTCTTAATGAAATTCAAAAGGTATAAAAATCAAACATGCCCAGAATTCAATAAGGAACCCAATGGCATCAATTAATTTTATTAATTTTCACTCTAATTCAAACAATTAATCTGACACTAGTATGAAACCTTGAAATATAAAATAATATGAAATCTCATACATCATTGATACATAACATTTAGCATGGGGGGTTTTGATCTCTACGTCTTGGCAAATCTATTGGTAACTCAAATGAATGAATATGATACAAGGATGGTTGAGTTTTAGATCGAGATGAACTTACCTATCGGAGCAAGGTCCAATGCCTCTTTCAATGGTTCCAGAAGCAAATAAATAATCTTTTTAGCACCCTTGATCCTTCCTAAAGATGTAGGTACCCTTGGTTTAATCTGAAACTTCCTCTATGTCACTGTCCAAATCCACTTGCAGTTGACAAAAATGGAGTTTTTGAGGTTATGCTCTTGATGTTACATAGGTGATTTGATGGTTTGGGTAGTTCCTATTAAGTGTTTAGAAGGTTTTTAAATGCTTAGAATGGATGGAAAGTGTTTAGGGAGTGAAACTTGAAAATCACTTCAATGGTGTTTTGAATTTTGAAGAAAATGTGGTTATGAAGTTGCAAGTTTATAGCAATGTTTTTGTGTGTTTGAAATTATCTGAGAAGGTCTCTATTGATAGAAAAGATGATCTGAAGTATAGTTTGATGAATGCACAATGTAATGCCTTTGTATGATGGATAATGTGAAAAAGCAAAAAAATGGTTAGCACAAGTATAAGTAGCCATACTTTTAGCATAACTTGATTTCTGGCTTTTGCTTGAACACTCCATTTGTATATGATATGTTGAGCTAGCCTACTTGCTTCATAGCCATGTTTTGAAGCAAAAGTGGATCTTGGAGTATTGGCAAAAAAGATTTGGACTTGGCACATTGGATTGAAGTTTTGCACCATGAATTAATCAAATGCTGTCAAGTTTGATATCAAAATAAAGATTACGCTTGATACTACAAGTTTGATGTTGATGTTGTGCAGAAAAGATGTTGGGAACATGCTCTAAAGTCAACCTAAAGTCGTGTACCACAACTGAACAAGAACTTGAAGAAATTCTGCCTTGATCATGAGCCTCATCATGCCTTTTACAAAAATCATATATTCATGATCAAGCCATATCTTTTCTTGCTTTTCGCCCCATTAGAAAGAGGGGATCAAACATTACAACTTTGATTTTGATCACTTGGAAAGATTCAATTTTGATCATGGAGAAAAATGGCTACCAAAATTGAACTTTTCATTGATTTACACTTGAATTTTTTTTTAAGTATTGGACATTTTGATAACTTGTAAAATCCCAACTTTGAACAACCATAACTCTCAATTGGTAGATGATCTTAAGTCCATTATTTCACCAAATAGAAGTGTGTAGTAC